GTATGTAGTTAACAAATTTATAAATACATCTAAAATAATATATAAGAATAATACTTATATGTATATAGATATTTTATGTAGCCAATGACTATACATATTATTTGTTTAACAGTTTTATTTTATGAGTTAAAGATATCACTGTCTTTTGGGGCGGCTTCTGCTAACATCCAACTTAATAAAGCCAAAGTCAGCCTACTGAAGAAACATTGTCCATATTGGAAGCATTTTAATGACAGCAGTTAAGAAGAGTTGCTAGTAGAAGTGAATCGCAGGCACTGTCTGCTTTCTGGAGCTGGACTAGGGTGCAAATGTGCTCTTTTTCCCTCTCCAAAAGCAGTGCTTCATGATGGTGTGTTCTGTTTGCAATGAGACTCTTCATGCAAAACCCAGTGACAGTTCTTTGAGAAGGTAGTAATTATGGGGCCAAAGAAAATTTTAGCAAGCATCTTTGGAACCTCTCGATTATTGTGTAAGATAAAGGATGGACATAACCTTACAATCCCTAGGTCTTCCCAAAAGGTGGGGGGAAAGGGAGATCAAAGTCTTGCATTTACAGAGCTTCTTTGAACTCCTAAGGATTTTTCATGCTTGTGGTTAATGTCCGTGTTAAACCTGTAATCTTGTCAATAAACACAGAGGACATAACTTTCCCCCCAATCTATTATCTCCCTTGATTTTTAAGGGATACGTAAATATGCCTTGAGTATGTGGGTTTTCTAAAACCAAGACTCTCAGTGCTATCCATCTTGAAAGGGAGCCTGGATGTAGCATCATTTTATGTAGTCTTTCCATGCTAGCAACCATCTCCTTCACTTTGTCATCCCAGCAACTACAACATTTTAAAAATGAAAAGGATCAATAACATGCCTTTTTTTTGTGATTGTACAGATAATGGCAAAGATGTCAATAGTGAAATGACAGATGAGACTGAGAAGAGCTTTGAAACCATGATGACATTTTCTGAAGAAGGAGAATGTGATAATAATCTCAGTGAAAATATCTGTTTAGCTTCAGGTAAGATTTAGTAACTTAAAATTGTTTGTGGCTGGAATTCTCCATTTCCTTAGACTTCTGAAGGACGCAGGTGTGGTGTGACACTAAGGAAGGTACTGAGGAATTAACATGAATATCTCAATTGATTTAGCTATCTTCTGTTTCCATATGTTAGGAGTTGCCCCTCATTTACCACATTTCTAGTGCAAAGTTGTTCTCTCGGCACATTATCAAAAAGGTCTCCAAACACCAGACTGCTGTTGATGCATCTCTTCTCCGATATAACTAATTCACACATGACCTGATATTAGCCAGGTTAGAGACCTCAGTGTGGCTTCAAAGTGTCTATGCTGACGTTTTGTATGGCAAATTTTGCTCCACCAGTGCTTTCTAGTTCCTGTTCCATAAATGCAACCGCCCTGACAAGACCACAATTTAAGAGAGTATTAACTTCAAAAGTCTTTCAGGCAGAAGGTTTAAAGGAGTACTGTGCACATATTTAAGGGAAAATATGCCTTTGTGTTTTCTTTCTGAGTTGAAAAATGTCTGGTTGAGGTGAGAGTTGTCAGCCAAGACCTTTAAATGAGTTTATTTTGGGAAACACAGTCAAGTGGTAACAAAAGTATGCCACCAAACCTACACAAAATTCTTATCTGGTGTGTATGCCTTCTTAAAAGGCTTGTCTGTCGGAGAATGCTCTGTGTAGGCTGCAAGTGCTCTACCTCTATCGTTTTAGATACCAGCTGTGTGGAGCACAATATATTTTATGCATTTCTCTTGCATCTCTTCACAAAAACATGGTTCTTTCCTAGAAGGGCTCTACCAGTCTTCATCTATTTATGAACCAAAGAAGGCTTGGAGCTACCAGACTGAACTTCCACAGCCTGCTCTCAATGGGAAAAAGACATTGATACGTGTGCCCACAGGTAAGAAAATATACGTTTCTTAGAAAAATTCTCTTGGTGGAGCATGCTATGAAGGATAGAGAAGGGTAAAGGTTGACTCAAATTTTTCCAGTTGTTTATTTAAAAACAGTCTTCCTTGCAGGAGTAGATTCAGATCTAAACTGAAACTAATGGCCAAGAGCAGCATAGAGACTGAGCAAGACAGATGTGTCTCTTGGCACTTCAGGGCTTGTATTCAGATTTCCATATTCTGACCTCTGCTTTCTCACTCCCTGGTGTGGCTTTTTGAGTTAAAATCACTCACTGAACTTTGCAGATCTTTAAGAAATTTCGCTTGCAAGTTGAAGGAAAAATAGGATGAGTTGCTCTGAGACTACCTTGTCTTCTATACTGCAATGCCTACAACACCAAAACAGCACAGGGAGTTTTGTGGTAGCTCAGGACTGAATCAAAAAGATTGAAGCTCAGTAGCAAAAGAGACATCAATCAGCTTTTTCTCTCCATTGGTGTTTTCCATGTTGCTAGCGTGATTCTCCCCTGGGCCCTGGAGAAGCAAATGGGGTAGCAGAGGCAGGGACACAAGAGCTCTGGGAGGTCTGCACAGTGAGCCTGAGTGCTGAAGGAAAAGAAATGGTAGAGAAGCAAGGCTGCATGGGGAAGGATGGAAGCTGAAAGTGTGTGATGCCTGTACCATAGTCTGATTTGATGTGGGAGCATATGCTAAGAGCAGAAATAGACTCAATGATTTCAAAGAACTCAAAACTGCAGACAGTTTTTCCTTCCCAGTGACTGCTACATGGTCTTTACAGACTGAAACTGTGAGAGAGAAAGAGATGATTGCCCACCTGAGTAAGCAGCAAGCTTGTGCTTAAATCTGTCCCCAGAGACTCTGGAAGTGTAACAGACCCCTTGTCAGTTCCCTGTAGTTACAGGGCATCCAGATAAGACGGGTGCCTGCTTACAAATACACCCTTTCATATTAGGGCATTACCTTTCACATTCTTCATTTAAAGAATCTGGAAAAACTTCTGTGGCACTTCTGATTTGTGAACACCATTTTCAAAACGTGCTTCAGAACGAAAAGCAAAAGTTGTCTTTCTTGCAACCAAAGTGCCAGCGTACGAACAAAGAAAACTGTATTTAAGCAGCATTTTGAAAGAAGTGGGTAAGTGTAATTCTACCAGGTGGCTTCCTCCACAGAAAGTAAACTGCCCTCTAGGTCAGCTGTGGCTAGAACAAAATGTAATGGGTTTACTGGTGACAAGAATGTTTGATGTTAACGTAAGGATGGTGTCTAGTGGTAAGAATGGCAAGTTACCATGGTAGACTTTGTTTGGAGAGTCTGAAGTCTGCTTTTGGAGAGCTTGAGAACTCGTTGTGCAGCATCTATGGAAACAGCCAAAGTATACCTGTGCTTGCCTCTGGAAAAGGATGAAGTGTGTTTTCTCTTGAGACTCCTTTCAGCCCTGCTTCCAAACCTGAGGCAGTTCCAGACAGCAGCAGTGGGATTCCTCCTGTCATTCGCAAATGGCAGTCTCTCTTTCTTTTCTAAATGGAAGGACCCAAACTTCTTTGTTTTTTCAACCTTTAGTCAGAAAATGATGGTCCACTTCTGAGATAGGACCGAAAATTACTTAAAGGAGTATTGACAACCTGTAGCTTCTGATTTTGAAGGAACTGGTTACTAAACATCTACATATGAATCTTTGTAGCTATGGGAAAATGAGGATGCTGGACAGAAAACAGTCCCATGCTGGTAGATATATACAGGAACGGAATGAAGGTCAGGATCTCCAAATTTAGCTTACATGTGAACTGACAGATGCAGCTTAAATTTGCAAATTCATCACCCCTCAAATCTAATATATTTTAGTTACTGGGAGTTGAAAATCCAGTTGTTTACCCTCAGCAGTTTTTTTTCTCGGCTTCTGTGGGTCAAACTGCCAGGCCTGACAATTTGACATTTTGAACTTAGTCACTACCCTTCAGGCTCACTGAAAAGTCCATTCTTCTAGATTTTTTTGCCCTGCAAGACATCCTTTTTCATGCTCTATCTTTTCCCTCTTCTTCCTAGATATTCTGTTCAAGGAATTAGTGGTGAAACTGTTGCAAATGTCTCTGTAGAAAAGATTATATAGGACAGTGACATCATTGCACTAACACCCCAGATTCTTGTGAATAGCATCGAGGAAGGGATCATTAGCTCCCTCTGCATCTTCACTCTGATGAGATTTGATGAGTGCCACAACACTACAGGCAACCATCCTTACAATGTGTTATGACAAAAATTTAACTCCTCTGCAAACCGCCTGCCTCAGGTAAGGCTCAGCCGGTCAGTGGTGGAAACATTAGGGAAAAGTATTTTGCAGTGCAGTCAGCAAAGCCTGGAGTCTAGCCTTTTGTGTTAATCCAGTTCAAACTCCCATTTAACAACAGCTGCAGACTGAAACGGTAACATCTGGAACATGTTTTCCCTCTTCTTGGACACCTCCAGGCTGTTTTCCCATGTTACACCCTCCCTGCAGCTGCCAAGAAGGACTGATAAAGCATGACAGAGACTGTAGTACTTGCGAGCAAACAGGACTGCTGGGCTGGGAAGAAAGCGTGTGCCCCAGAACTTAGTATCTCCTTGTCAATTCTCTGTTGCTGTTCTCTGCAACAAGAAAGTGGGTCACTGCCTCTGCTGGTGGGAGGTTTTGGTCCACCTGAGAAGACATCTCCTCTGAATGAATGCAGAGGACAGTTCTGGGTCTGGATTTGCTGTTTCTGTGTACCATGCCACCTGACAAATACAGCTGGTTATGGATTCAAATGGGTGGATTTGTTTTCAGTTTTCAGTTTCAATGCTCTAAGTGCCTTGGAGAGGGCACGAGTGGGGACAAGGTTTAGCTCTCAAGATTTAGTCCTTGCACTCATGTTTACTTCAGCTGCCTGTTTTGTCTCCTTGTCTTTGAAGATGGTGACAACTTGGCAATTGGTAACAGTGTCTCCCGGGTTTTTTTCCTTTTGTGACAAAGGAGTAACCACTGCTATTCATACGTGTGCTCAGATTGTAGGTTTAACTGCTTCTGTTGGAGTTGGTAATGGCAAGAGCATCAAGGAAACAATAGAGCACATCTGTACCCGCTTCTATCTTGACATACAGACCATATCCACCATCAGAGAGAACAAACAGAGGTTCAGAAACAAACCAGAAACGAGTAAGCATGCTTCCTTTTTATTTTCCTGTGAGATGGAAAGCACTATAATTAAGGCAGCTATCCAATTCCATTTTCATCAGGTGAGGTTAAAAACTTAAAACTAAGCTGGAACTTTGCTTCCTGCTAGCTTGCAAATAGTTTAAGCATTCATTGTTGCCCCAAAGTAAGCCAATGCCCATTTGGGCAAATTTTCTCTTTGCTGAGATCCACATTCTGGTTTTTATTCAGTTCTGCCAGTGAAGATTGGGGGCTGTTTCTTTCTGTGCAAGTGTAATGCTCATTAGCAATAAACATCATTGTGATTGTGTACACCACCATATGCAGCATTCTTCTAGACAAGAATTTGTTCTCCACTGCCCAAGGAAAAGTTTTGCTTTTTCAGGCCACTGACTTCCATTTCTTGTCTCTAGATGTCAGATGGGTTAAAATGCGAGTTCTGAATCACTTTGCAGATATCTCAGGTCTGATGTCTGAGACAGAGGCATTGATGAAGAAGATTTACTCAGTGGGTAAGATACTGTAATATGCCTGTAACTGGGATTCAGTCTTGATTACATCAGTGTGAATCCTCATGGCTGCTAGAAAGGAAACTCTTTCTCCACTTCCTTTCCCTCCTTCCTTTTTTACTTGCCTTTAACCAGTATTTCCTAAATAAGAGATTACAGGTAGAAGAATCAACTATTTTCCTGTTAGATGTGATTAGCTTAATAATCATAAATATTTTTGCTTGTATTTCAAGCTATGTTCATGCAGCTAAGGATGGTGTGCTTTTGACACTGCCAAACAATTTTGAATGTTTGAAGAATCTGAAACAAAACTAACAAAAAGCTTGCTTTCAAAATGCAATGAGCTAGACTTCATTGATGAGAGGTGCCTGTAGGCTCTTATTTAAGCATTTGTCCAAATGCTTCATACCTAAATCTGTCTTTATTAAGGAAAACAAGAAGGATCTCAGTTACAGTATTATTCTGAATGTTGTCATTTCTTCCTTTCAGTGAAAATTTACTTTCAGTCTTACTGCTCTGATACTTCTTCTTGTATTTTCTCTGGCCTCTCTGAGTTGCGCTCAGAGTTATTTCTAGGGGTGCCCTGACCAGCTTTTCTGGTCAGCATTTTGTCCTCTTTATACCTCTGGGTACTTCTATTTCCACTGTTTCACAGGTCTCCACTATTTGCGATTGAAAAGCATTTGAGGTAATTTTACAGAGGAGGGTCTGTGGAACATGAACACCACCAGAGAGAGGATATGGCTGCCTAAGAAAGGAAACATTTATCTGTAGAGTTCCAGCCTCAGGAGGTGCAGTGGTGTGAAGATTTGCAGGAAGGGAGTTGCACGGCTGTGAGAAGAGAATGTATCTCATGGTCATAAGACCTAATTCTGCAGTCCTTCAGAAATAAATTGATTTTTTCTGCTTTTGCAGAGTTCCTAAGTGGTCTCCAGTAAGCGGCTGTTATCAACAAATTTGAGAGCTACAGAGGGTACACAGCAGAGACCCTTGCATGGCTATGTTCAGGATCAGCCTTGGTCTACCCAGCTCTGAATTAAAGATTTTGACTGTGCTTAGACTGGCTTTTGCAAATTGACCAGAGTGCCTTAAGCATGTTTACCCCAGTTCTATACTCTCTAGACTTCCCCTCCCCATCCACACTTTCCAGATATTGGAGAGTGAACTATATTCTGGGGCAGGAAGGGACAATTAAAAAAACCCACCAAAACAAAAAAAACCCCACCCAACCAAAGAAAACCCCAACCCAAAACCAAAGAAACCCCAACAAAGAATAAATAGAGTGGGATTTTCAAACTGCATGCTAAATTAAGCAAACACTTCTGAAGCTTATTTCTGCATCACAGTTCCTCTTCCATGAATGCCATTGTTTTCCCTTCTGTGGACCCTTTGATTATTGAAGTTTGTGAAGCACTCAGACAGAGTATACACATGACAAACGAGTACTAACTAGTTCTGCCTCAAGATCAGGCCCTTGGATAATATGCCATTAAGTACCATGTACCATCTAGCAAGTGAATCTTAACTATTGAGTAGCTGGTAATTCAAGGAGCAATGCATATGTAGTTTCTTGAATACTGAAGGCTTCTTATAGGATAAGTGAGATCCAACTTTATAGCTAAAGGCTCTGCAGATGTGTGCATGCACACAGATCCTCAGTTGAATTGTACTGGGTTAATTTTAGCCTAACATCTGGGTATACGTTGAAATACAGGAAGTGAAGAAGACAGAGCTGGACTCTTCTTTGATGGTTCCCAGAGGAGGACAAGAGGCAGTGGGCACAGACAGAAATACTTAAACAACAAGAAGAGCTTCTTTGCTGTCAGGGTGGTCAACACTGGAATAGGTTGCCCAGGGAAGCTGTGAAGTCTCCATCACTGGAAGTATTCAAAATCCATTTGGACATGATCCTGAGCAACTGGCTCTAGGTGTCCCTGCTTTGAGCAGAGGGTTGGACTAAAGACCTCTACAGGTGCCTTCCAGCCTCAGTGATTCTGTGATTGTATCATACAGTGTTCTGCATAGGCTTTTTAGACCCAACATTCATGGAAAATGTATTATCTTCTAGCAAACTGTTCTGGGTATTTGTTAGTCATGATGAACAAATTTTTGTTTCCTCCTTCTTTACTAGATGCTGTCTACCAAATCAACAAGAATGATTTTGGAACACAGAAATATGAACACTGGATAGTTGCCACTCAGAAGAAATTAAGATTGTTGCAACCTGCAGACAAGGAGAAGGAGAGCACCATTTGTAGAGCCCTTTTCATTTGCACTGAACACCTGCGGGTAAGTGTATATCCTCCTTCCTTTCATACAGAGGTGGAGCCATCCTGTTCCTCTGATACAGGTATGTTCACCTAGGAGCAGGTCTTGAACCTAATAATTTTATTTGACACAGGCTGAAGCATAACAGTTGTGTCTTAAGATACTCACAAAGAACAGTATAGTGCAGAGGAGACTTTGTAATGCTTGTGTTGTCATGCAAATGGAAGAACAACACAAGTTTGTAATACTCAATCTAGATAAATAAAATTTGCATTCATCCCTTGCTCCACGGAAAATGAGGCTTAAATGTATATGTGTCTCTGAGTAGAAATTCAATGATGCTCACATCATCAGTGAAGATGCCTGCATCGAAGATGCTTTATCCTACTTAACTGAATTTTTCACAAATGTCAAAAATGGTCTGTATACAGTTAGAGAGAAGCAACTGACAGCCCTATTCCAAGGTATTTCACACAATACCTGTGACAGTTGCAGGGGAGAAGAGGGCTTATGGTTGGATGATCCACGTGTTTTCTTCAGAGTATGCACAGTTGTTTTTCCAGAAACTTTGCACATTTCAGAAGCTCTAGTGTCTGTGTGGGTGTAAATGTAGTGTTAGGGTAGCAGGGGGGAGCTTACTTTCTGGGACTGCAAGCTTCTCATTCAGGAGCTAAAGAAGTAGTAGTTATTGTAGCTGGATGCTGTAGCAGGTTCTTACATGCCTGACTTGGAGATAAGGCAGTGGGGTGTGTGTGCCCCACAAGTAGGGGGATGGTCTACAATCATGGGTGCTGACAGCATTAGATAAGGCAACACACACTGCTCAGGGCCCTGCATAGCTTCCTCCTGCCCAATGCTCCTGGACGAATCCCAGACTTCTGGAAAGAAGCAAGTGGCCCTTGTGCAATTCTAATTAAAAGTTAGAAGTTGCACTGTTCTCTAACTTCTGATTTAGTAGCAGTGTGCTGTAAACTAGCCTGTGATCTGGTGTATTGCAGTGTTGACTGCAATTTTTAACCACGGGGCTGTCTGCCCTCTTGTGTCAGTCGTTTCCTAAGAAGAAGTAGCACCACTCTGCAAGAATTGAGTTTGGTTTGTTGCTGTCTTTTGATGTACAATATGTCACAGAGGTTCTCCTGTCAGTTCACTACAAAATGTGAGAGATTCAGAAATGTTTTTTTCTGGGGATTTTGTTGCTTTTAACCAATAGCTTTCTTTGCTTGCTTCTGAAAGAATGGTATAGAAAATAAAGAGATGCTAAAGAGAATGTGAGTGGCATTTGAAAGTAGGTTTGGGTGAGAATTCTGATTTCTGCATTGAAGAAGGTAAAATATTCAAGATACTGCTGTTTTCTTCCAGAGAAAGAACCAGAACTGATTGCCCTTTCAAAAGATGAATCAAATGAGAATCCCAAGCTGGAAGAGCTTGCTTGCATCCTGGATGAAGCATACCACTATAACCCACAGACTCGCACTCTTATCTTTGCCAAGACAAGAGCCTAAGGAGCTGTAAGATATTTCTTTTTTAAAGGTCCTAAAATGGGAAGTGAGAAAATATAATGCCTCATCTATTACCCTTCCAATTTTGACCTGGAAATAGAAACATATGCATGTATTTGACCTTCCTAAGAAAATATGTCTCTATATATATCTTCCTAAGCACTGACGCTCTGAGACACAATAAGGGATTTTTTTTTGTTCTTCTAAAAACTACAGTACAGGGGTGGTGTCCTTTATCACTTCTTTCTGCATGTCATAGTTGATGATTAAGCCGTCAGATTTTTACTTTAGGTCTGAAGTCACTTTTAACAAGATGTGTTACAAGTTTTTTGACTATAATGTGGCAGTGTTATAAACCAGCAGCTCTGCTTTCTTACTGGCTGCACATCAGGAGGTATTTATAGGTTTCCTGGAGGATTCCTGTGGGCCCAAAGGACGTCTGTGCCTTAGCATGTGTTCTTGATCAAGAAAAAGGAAAGACTTTGTGGAGCATGTGTTCCCTGGACCCTTTTGATACAGGTCTATTTCATACTTGCCTACAATCGAGGATCTAGGCTGAGTGATCTTTTTTCTCCTTTCTAATACCTTGTTCCCGGAAAAAATCCATGTTAGAAGTAACAGTGCTGCTAATCATTAGCTTCAGGAGCTCTTAAACATTTATTGCAAGGTATCATAGTCTCTGGCTACTGTAAACAGATTTATCAGCTCAGAGTCCCAACCCTGATTTTATCCTTGGGTACAGATATGCTGGATGAATTGCAAACTAGAAAAAAATTAAAGGCAGGCTAAAGTCCAGGCTTGCTAACAACAGCAAGCATCTGCTGGCAACTTGCCATTACAGATGTAAAAGCCTGCTGTAGCTTAGCTGGATTTTGTTCTTACATAAGAGCAGTTTGAGGGTGCTACTTTCACTGTGCAGTGACAAAATGCAGTCTGTAAATAGCAACTCATTGCCTTTGGGTCCCAGAGGTGTAGTATTCAGTGATCTGTTGGTTTACAAGAGGAAAAAGGTATACTTTTTAGCAGTGGAAGGCTGCTTACTCTCTAGCAAGCCTTTAAGTTGCAGGAGCGGGAAAAGCGGAAATCAGCTGTGGCATGGTTTGATCTGGCATCATGGTTGTGACCCTTGCTTTCTTACCTATTAATAGATGTTCCCTCCTGATGCACAGGTTCCACCTTCTTTTCTGCTTTTAGCTTTCAGAAGTATTAATTGTCTAAGCAAGGATGGGCAGGAACTACCTATATATCGCAAACTAGCATTTCATCTGGACAGGGATCTAACTCCCTGATTTGCTTTCCAGGCTTTGAAGAAGTGGATAGAAGCAAACCCTCTACTTAGCTACATAAATGCAGGTGTGTTGATGGGTCATGGAAGAATAGAACAAAGACAGGTGTGCAGGTTTGCACTGAGGAATACCAGTTGCCAGACCTATTGTGGCTACACTGCTAAACTTGTTCTGCTCTTCCTGTGTTCACCTTCTGTGCTCTTAAATAGAGGAAAGTCATGCACGTTTGTGTTACGCTTTCTTCCATATCTAGAAGGCTTTTAACCAATCCTAAGGAGATGCTTGCTTTTTCTGTCCAGAATCTTTGGTTAAAGCAACAGTAACACTGTCAGTGACCCTTTGCTGCAGCATTTTTTTGCTAGTTCAAAAGAAGTTTAGAAGCTGTTCTCTATCATGGCTTCTTGTGATTACTTCTAGTGGTATTTTCCTTTTTTTAAGGTAGAATGGAAGCTACAGATTAAAAGAATTATGCATGGCTTAAGTTAAGAGTTAGCTTGGGCTTAAAATAACTCAAATGTATGGGTCTTTCTAATGAAGATCACCTAGGCGTTGTATCTGAAAAGGTCTTTCCCAGGATGACAATTCCTGTGGGATATCAACAGGATTTCCTGCTTAGTCGGTATAGTATGTAGCCAGCTGGTTATGCAAACTGAAGTACTTTTCCAGATCAAGAGGACATGCTTATTTTTAATCACTTAAGTAACAGCAAATGCAGATATATTGCTCAAGGAACTCTTTGGTGTTTTTTCCTGATACAGTTTCTTGGTACTGTAGGTATGACCCCCCCAATGCAGAAGGATGTATTGGATGCATTCAAAACCAGCCAAGACAGCAGACTGCTAATTGCTACATCTGTTGCTGACAAAGGCATTGATATTTCTGAGTGCAACCTTGTTGTGCTCTATGAATACTTTGGTAATATCACGAAAATGATCCAAGTCAGAGGTATGGAATTTCAGAGCTATTGTTTTAGAAACCTGTTTTGGCCTCGAAATGAACATAAAGTACTACTGAATGGCACTTTGGAAATACTATAGTAATATCTGCATGTCTTGCTGTTGTTCTTCTGTGCCCCTGAGTGGAGTCAGATCAATGATAGGAGCAGCCATGACAAATTTGTTCACAGAACTGAGTCCTTCTTGTTATGTGACTTTTCTATTGCCATGCAAATTAGCCATGCTGCACAAAGTTATTGAACTGTTGAGGACAGATCCCTTAGGTGGATAATTGTACATATAAACAGAAGTATGGCTAGAAGAGCTGTAGTTGGAAATAGTGCAAATCATTCTGACTGTGACAGTTTACAAAGGACTGCTGCAATGGAGTTTCATGTATTGCCTTGACTTCTGAAGACCTTCCCCTGACCAGTGGCTTATTACCAAAACAGCTTCTCACGGGTACCCGAGGCCTTTGCATGTGCAGACCTCTAACATTCAAGACAAAAAAATCCCGAACCAACCAAAGAAAAAACCCCAACTCAAAAAAATCTCTTTCTGTCTTGGCTTGTCTGAAGTCTGTCAAGACTTTGATCTTGAATCTTGGTGATTTTTCAATATGGCAGCAGGGGGGAACGACAAGCCATAGTCAATACTGGTTTCTGTTTAACATTCCTAAACATCATAAAACTGCCTACGTCTTTCAAGGGTGCATCTGCAATGTTTTTGTCATATCACCCAAGTAGTTAACTTCATAATTTGGTGGGAAGTGATCTCCATTGTACTCAGTCCTCTGCTTTCAGGGTTTGTGTCCTGTGGTTTTCTTATTTTTGTCTTATGATGAAATAATTGCCCTAGAATCCACCTTTATGGGAAAGGATAGTGTTTATTCTTAACAAGCACTAAAGATGTAAAGAAAATAGGTTGCATCAGTTTTAAACCACATGAAATCATGATTTGGGGGGAATGGGAGCTCAAAAGCAAACATGAACACTTTTTCTAACTGAAATACTTCTAAACTGGTATGAGATCCCTGTAGTTCTTAGTTTGCCTATGTCACAGCAGCAAAAAGCAGACAGGCAGTAGGCATAGACAGGTGGAAGAGATGGCAGTTGCTCTTGTTGTCTCTTTTCTTGTCAGCACTGTATTTCCAGTTCCTCCATTGGTTTGGTTTTTTTTTTTTTTTTTTTTTTTTTTGGTGATAGACTTAATAGACATCAATTAGCTGAGCAGAAAACTGGTAAGAAAGACTGAGATGAACTTTTTTCCTCTAGCTATTTTTTCCAGGAGAAGACAGCAAGATGCTGTAGAATAACTGAAGTAGTAAGCATGCCTGAGCTTAACTGAGGCAGGCCACAGAAGCAGGCAATACAGTACTGGCTGGGGGATATCCATGAGGATATCTGCAAGGGGGCATTTTGTTCTGCTTCGTGTTTGAAGAAAAGCTAAGAGACTGCTTTTTAGAACCAGCATTATCTGAATTGTATTCACTTTCGTGAACACTTGCATTTGGTTCCAGACGAAGGCTAGATCAGCAGAGAAGGGACAGTGTGTATTGCTAGCTTGCAGAATGTCATTTGCATTGCAGAACTGTAAAAAACTTAGAAGTTGAGGTAGAATTTATATAAACTTCTCAGCTTAGAAATAAAATACAAACTATTCTGTCCTTTGCAAGAAAAATATTGCTGTATCTGCTTATAGAATAGTAGAATCATTATGGTTGTAAGAGACCTCAAAGATCATCAAGTCCAACCATATACCCGATGCCACCATGCCCGCTAAACCCACTAAACCATGTCTTGAAGCGCCACATCTAAACGTTTTTTGAACACCTCCAGGGATGGTGACTCCACCACCTCCCTGGGGAGCCTGTTCCAATGCCTAATGACTCTAACAGTGAAGAAGTTCTTCCTAATGTCCAGCCTGAATCTCCCCTGGTGCAACTTGAGACCGTTTCCTCTTGTCCTATCGCTAATTACCGGGGAGAAGAGACCAACCCCCACTTCACTACAACCTCCTTTCAGGTAGTTGTAGAGGACGATCAGGTCTTCCCTCAGCCTCCTTTTCTCCAGACTAAACAACCCCAGCTCCCTCAGCTGCTCCTTGTAAGACTTGGGGTAGTTGACAAGGAGATGGGAAACTATGCCAATGGTGGTATTATGTCCATCCGATTCATGTTCAGAAGGACTTTATCTTTGTTGCAGGCCAGTACAAGTGCTTTTCTAAAGCTGTTTGTTTTCATGCCAAGTGCTTGTTGATTTCAGAGCAGTGGTTTCTGGGAGATTTCAAGAAACCATTGCCTGGGACATTAACAGAATGACATTTGGGTTTGTACATGCTCTTCTGCTGCTGACTTCTTTCGTACTGTCTACAGTACTGTTCATCTTTGCTTCAAGCAATGTCTGGCAGATGAGCAAGCCTGCTAGAACTAGAGGGTAGAAAGACGTGTCAGGAACTTATGGTGTTGAGGTGACATGCAAGAGGTGTCTTGGGCTGATCCAATGATTTCGGTCAGGCACATTCCTGCCCAGCACAGCAGGTGCCTCTCCTCTGTGACTTCGCCACCTTCCCAGGCACCCTTACATCATAGGTACGAGACTCTGCAAGTGGGAGCGAACAATAATGAGGACAATAGTTCATCTAGCTTGGAGGTGTCACTGTCATTAAGTTGGTCTATGCCCTGCATCAAAACGGCTTCCACAAAGAAAAAAAGAGGGGTCATTGTCATAGAACACCTTCTCTTGAGTGGAACAGAAAGCCCAATGTGCAGATTGGACACACTTCTGGGGGAAGCCTGCTGCCTCCCTGGGGCCTGAGTTAAAGATGTAAAAAGAGAGCTTCTACCCTGGTACGGCCCTCGGATTATTATCCATTATTGACTTTTCAGGTAGGCAACAATGAAGTTGCAACAAGAAGTCTAAGGGCAATCAAAAGAGACTTCAGGGCCTTGGGATGACTGTTAAGGGATCCAAAGCATAAGTAGTGCTCTCCTCTGTCCTTCCAGTTGCAGGGAATGATGAGGGAAGAAATAAGAAGAGCTAGCAGATCAATACCTGGTGTCAACGGCAGAATTTGGAGGTTTTTGATCATGGATCAGGCTACACAACACCAGGCCTGCAGACAACAGATTAGGTATATCTGTCTCAAAGTGGGAAAAGGTTCTTTGCACAAGAGTTAGCAGGGCTCATTGAAAGAGCTTTACAATGAAGGGAGAAAGGGAAAAAACCATGCTCACTAGAGATAGGCCTGGGGGCGGCAGGCCAATGTTTGAAGGATGGTGTGCTAGCAAGGCCCTTCAATCTGCCATCTCAGTGGAGGCAGGGGATGGAGATCCATGTGGCAGCAAAGACACACGGGTTATTGATATGTTAGAAACCACAGGGGCACCTGAGAATGGTCACACAGGAACTAGGGCTTCTCCCCTAAAAAAGGTGGTGGGATCAACAGCCCAGCTGAAGTGCATCTACACCAATGCACGCAGCATGGGCAACAAACAGGAGGAGCTGGAAGGCATTGTGCAGTTGGAAAACTACGATAAAGTCCCCATCATGCAAACATGGTGGGATGACTCATACAACTAGAGTGCCGCAACTCTTCAGAAGGGATAGGCAAGGAAGGAGAGGTGGTGGGGTAGCCCTGTATCTTAGGGAGTGTTTTGATTGTCTAGAGCTTACTGATGGAATGAAAGAGTCAAGTATTTATGAGTGAGAACCAGGGGGAAGGCCAACAAGCCAGATATCATGGTGGGAGTTTGTTACAGGTCACCCACCTGGGTTGAAGAGGTAGATGAAATATTCTACAAACAGCTGGGAAAAGTCTCAGAATCTCTAGCCCTTGTTCTCATGGGGGACTTCAACTTACCAGATGTCTGCTGGAAATACAACACAGCAGAGGAAGCAGCCCAGGAGGTTCCTGGAGTGTGTGGAAGAGACCTTCCTGACACAGCTGGTGAGGGACCCACCTAGGGAAGGTACCTGCTGGACCTGTTGTTTGTGAACAGAGGACTTGTGGGTGATGTGATGGTTGGAGGCCGTCTTGGGCATAGAGATCACCAAACAATGGAGTTTTTGATTCCTGGAGAAGTAAGAAGAGGGCTCAGCAGAACTGCTGCCTTGGACTTTGGAGGGCAGACTTTGGCCTGTTCAGGACCCTGGCTGACAGAATCCCTTGGGAGGCAGTCCTTAGGGGAAAGGGGTCCAGGAAGGCTGGACATTCCTCAAGAAGGAAATGCTAAAGGCACAGGAGCAGGCTGTCCCTATATGCTGGAAGACGAGCTGGTGGGAAGAAGACTGTCCTGGCTGAACAGAGATCTTTGTCTGGAACTCAGGAAAAAACGGAGAGTTTATGACATTTGGAAGAATGGGCAGGTAACTTAGGAGGACTACAAGGATGTCATGAGGTTATGCAGGGAGAAAA